TCAGCCTCAGCCTCAACCTGCCTCGGCGTGCCTCAGCCTCAGCCTCAGCCGGCCTCGGCCTCAGCCTGCCTCAGCTCGGGCATTCAAAATATGACACAGGACTGGTGTTCTGGGAACACGAAGATCACGAAGTGGTCCACAGTTGGCTCCGGGCAATCAAAATATGATACAGGAATGGTGTTCTGGGAACACGAAGAACACGAAGTGGCTTACAGTTGGCTCCGGGCATTCAAAATGTGGCCTGGGAATGGTGTTCTGGGAACACGAAGAACACGAAGTGGCCCACAGCTGGCTCCAGGCATTCAAAATGTGGCCTGGGAATGGTGCTCTGTTGGCTCCGGGCAATCAAAATGTTGTTCCTCGAAATCAAAATAAGGAGTCCCCGGGTTCCCCGGCTTCTCCCGGCACCCGCCCAGACCCCCCTGGGGAGTCAAGATGCTCTCTTTTGAGCCCACTAGAAACCTATCAGTCTTCGCTGTTAAGTAAATATGCACCATATTTTCCAATATTTTCCTGGGACTCGAGGATTAATTGTGTCTGTGTGTTTTTCCCCTTCGGAACGACCGGGGGAACGCAGATCCGGGCAGCCTGGCCACGCTCTGACACCACGTCTGGCCACGTCGGCGTGCCCAGAAGGCAGGGGGGGGCGCTTGGGTCGTCATCCAACTGCGCGCAGACACGACAAAGGTCTCGGGCTAGATTACATACAGGGCAGTGTTTAATACATGGTTTTAACAAACAAAATAGAAATCTTAATCCATTATTAATTAATTAATTAATAGAGTTATGTATGAACTCATTGTTGCTTGTAATACTAAATCCCTGGATGTTTAACAAAAAACGGCACTGTAGCGACGTTACGCGGCGGCTTACGCGGGCCGCCGGCGCGGCACGATACGATTGAAGAGAGGGCGCTTGCGCGCGACCCTACGCGGGTGGCTTGCGCGCCAATGTCGCCACAGACGAACCCGTTGTCTGGAGTCGCGCAACTGGCGCAAACCGGCTCAAGCAACGATTGCTCAAGCGGCCTTGAAAGATAGTGCAGCAGCTCTCTCAGCGTACTATTGTGTATGAAGACGTCTCGGTCGAAAAGCGCATGCACCAAACATAAGAAAATGTTTAACTTTCAATGCTCGGAGGGTGTCTCAGGCGAAACGCGTGTTTCTACAAAATTCGGTGTTGGTGCATTCTCAGTTTGGTGACGATGTCCATGGCGAAATTGTCGTGTTCGGCCGGCTTGAGGGCGCTCTTGGGGTCATGTTGGAGCTCGTGTTGGGCTCTTTGGGGCCGTCTTGATGCCCTCAAAAATCATTTCACTCCGATAAGAGACACAGACGTTGTTTTGAGGATGTCCCTGGCGAAATCTTCATGCTTAGAAGCCTGGCTTGGACCGTCTTGACCCCTTTGCGATAGTGATTCCAAGACGATGTTGAAGCGCATGTTTCAAAACGATAATATCATATTCGTAAGTGTTTGATGGAATACCTGCAGTCTTCAGGGCGGTCTTGGAGCCATCGCGGGATCCGTTCGTGGTTCTTGTTCCTTCGTCTTCAAATACTCAAAGAACGATCTCAAGAAGATGATGAGAACATCTCATGTTTCGAGGATGTCCCCAACAAAATGGGACCCAGTCTGCCGTGCTGGTCGTGTTGGTCTGCCGTGCTCCGGATGTCCGTAACGAATACGTAGCTTTCAACATCAGAGGTACATAGTACAACACCGCCGCCGACGTCTTCTATTTTGGAGGATGTCTCGGGAGAAACGTTAATTTTTCAAAGCACGTCCAATTCGCGACTTTCATTTGCTTGAGGATGTCTCAGGCTAAACGCTAGTTTTTTCGTGAAAATCGATCTTGAGAACACCTGAATGCTATGACACCTGGAGCACCCTGATCGGAGCAACCTGGAGCAACCTGATCGGACAATAATGGGAAGCACCGACTTGGTCCGTTTGGGTTCTTGGGGGGGGGGGAAAAGGCAAAAGATGATGGCGTTGAAAAGGCGGTGGATGACGAGGATGACAGCGTGGATGCCGGGGAGGGCAGCGAGAGACGCATGAGGACAACGAGTAGGAAGACAAGCACGAGGACGAGGAGGAAGAGATGAAATAAGACACGTACGAGGAGGAACGAGACGGAACCCGGAACCCCCCCGCTCAACACATATGATGAATCTCGCGAGCCGTGAAGTCTTTGTGGGGCCCTCTGTGGGAGCACTTTGGGAGCCTCTTGCCGGCTTCTGTGACCCTCTTGGACTGTCTGGGCGCGTCTCGAGGGTCTGTGGGAGCTCCCTTGGGGTCTCTTGGTGCTCCCTTGGGGTCTCTTGGTGCTCTCTTGGACTGTCTCTTGGACTGTCTCGAGCCTCTTCGAGCGCCCTTGGGGGCCTCCGGGCGGCTCTTGGGGGCCTCTTGGGGGTCTCCTGAGTCGCTTTGGGGATCCCCTGGGGGTTTCCTGGGGGGCCTCTGGGCGACCTTTGGGGGCCTCTTCGAAGTCTCTTGGGGCCCTTTGAGGGTCCCCATGGGAAGCCTCCGGGGGCTCTCTGTGGCCGTTGTGAAGCTCTCCGGGGGCTCTCTCTGGGACCGGTTGGAGGCTCTCTGGGAGCGATTCCAGAAGAATGCTGATTCGGAACCCCTTCCGGAACTGATGTTTTGAGGATCTCCCTAGCGAAACGACCGTGTTTCAGAAACCTTGACTAGCACGAACGGGAAGCGCGTGAAACCGAAGAGCGTGGCAAGAACATGCACCAACATCGAGATCGACTGCAGCATAGGCGCTGTTCTAACCATCGCTCGGACGTCCATTTCCTGTGCTTTTGTCGGTTTCGTGCGTGGCTTTTTCGCGACATGATCAAGGATGCTCCTCGATGGTCCTCGCCGAAGGAAACATGCACACGTCCGAGCCATGCCAGGTGTTCCCGAGCGTCCACGGGGGGTATCAGGTGGAGTTCACTATCCGCTCACGTTCAGGGGAAGCCAAATAATGTCGAAACAACCGCACTGGACTTGACTCACGTTCATCTTGTCGAAGAACCGTCGAAGGCAGGTTAAAACATGTCTCGAACGAACTTGGCAAAACAAATCACAAGCAACAAGGTCAACTGTGGCGCAAGCGCTTCCCCCGAACGCCCACGGGGAAATCGGGTGTTCCGTATCCGCGCAAGTTCAGGTGAAGCCCCATAATGTTGAAAAACTCACTGGTGTTTACGTACGTTCATCTTTTCGGAGCCTAACTCCACAGATCCTCACCCTACATACCCTAACCTAGATGGGCTTGTCCATCATGATCTGATCATTTCGAGGGCCAGGTCAAAGGCATGCTTAGTATGTCTCGAACGAGACGTTTACTGTTAAACAAAGTGTTGAACGACCTGTCCTTCACAAAAGTTTCGCTTCTTGGGCCATCGCGGAGGTTATCCAAAAACGCTCCGAAATGATGTCTCAAAACAGCTCTTGGCGCATCCGATTGTTCGAGGATTTCTCAGGCGGCACGGCCATTCTTGAAATTCCGAAGGTTCGGCCAGCTTATTCAATATCCCCATGTCCCGAGGAGACACGAGGAGACAAACAAACAAACTGCAGAACGGAAACGCCAGACAAATGGCCCCGTCGCTTCCAGGGCAATACAAGGCCCAAGGTTAAGCACCCCCCCTTCTGAGACGAAGCCAGGACGAGGAGAACACCGAGCGAGGATAAATCGGGAATCCCTGAGATCCGGCGGCCCTGGAAGATACCTCGGGCACCGCGGCCTTCTCGGAGCGGTCCACGACGCTCTGAGAGCGTTCCAGAAGGCTCTGGATCGGATGGATCCTCGTCCTAGCCCCGTCCGACTGCAGCCTGTGCTTCTTGGAAGGAGCAATCCGAATCTGCATCGCGCCGGATTGAAGGGGAACTGGGACGCACACATAAATAGACACTAATAACCAGTTTCCCAATAGTTTCCCATATTTTCTGGGTTTCTGTCTTCCCCCCACTTCCCATACTGTCCACACTTTCTGGGGAATCGACGATTCGTCGTGTCTGTGTGTGTGTTTTCCCCCTCCTGCCAGACGGAGGAGGGCGACCTGCAGCAGCCGCCGCGACGAGGGTCGGGGCAGGCAGCAGCAGGGTCGAGGCGCTGGGAGGCCGAGGGGCGGCGGAGGGCGACGGCGGGGGCTCGGGAAGAGAGAGAGAGAGAGAGAGAGAGAGAAAGGCAGACGAGGAGGACGAGGGCAGAGAGAGAGAGAGAAGGGTAGACGAGGAGGACGAGGGGGCTCGGGAAGAGAGAGAGAGAGAGAGAGAGAGGTAGACGAGGAGGCAGAGGCGGAGGGGGGCAGCGGTGAGGACTGCAGCATTCCGCCGGACCTGAGGAAGGACCAGCAAGGAGCGAGGCCCCTTTTGTGTCCAAGTGAGCCCACGAAGTCCGAAGGAACACGGGGGGGGCTCGCCGCCGAAAGGGCAGCGGAGCGCAAGCAGACCGAAGGAACGGCCGAGCCCCTCTTGAATAGCAAGTGCTCCTCACTCGAGCCGGATCCCGTGGGATGGGGAGCAAAACCACTCCAGCCTGAGAATAAGCACCCCGACAATGAAGGGGCCCCAGGACACACAAATAAATACACACAAAGAAAAATATTCCCCATATTCTCCCATATATTATGGGTCTGTGTCTTCCCCCCCACCTCCCATATGTATCCATATTTTCCTGGGAATCGAAAATGAAATTGTGTCTGTGTGCTTTTTCCCCTCCTGATAGCAGACGCACTGAAGGCAGGAGTCGAACAGGGCAAGGCTGTTCAGCAAACGCCGGAGACCCCTCGGGAGCGGCCAAGAGGGGGGTGTCCAAGAAGGGGGGGGTGCAAATCATGACCGGCGGCATGTGCGCGGCCCAGCGGGGGGGCCAGGGACGGAATGAAGTAAGAAGAGGCGCCATGAAACCTGGGGAAATAGCATGGCCCACGCCATGATATCCACCCCCCCTGGTCATCACCCCCCCTTTGCCGCCCCCGACCCCCGGCCGAGGAGCCCGCCACGGCGATGAACCGGGACAGCCAGAGCGGCGCCTCGCCGCCGTGGGCCGTCTGGTCGCCCTCAGCCAGAGGCGCGCGCGTGTCAGGGCAGGGCTTGAGCTAGAGCAGTCTTTTTCTTCAGTCTTCCCTGTAGGACGAGGAGGAGGAGGAAGAGGAGGGGGAGGAGGGGGAGGAAGGAGGAGGAGAAGGAAAGAGGAGGAGGAGGAGGAGGAGGGCAGGGCTTGAGCTAACACATTGTGTGTTCGCTTTCGTTTTGCTGTCGGCCTTCATCGTGCTGTCTTCGGAGCCGAGCCGCGACGAGCGAAGCGCTAATAGCTTCGCGCCCTCGAGGGCGCCCTGGGATGACACGAGGGCGGAGGAAGCGGGAGCGGTCGGCTGCAGGTGGAGGTGGAATACGTCGACCCATATCCCAGGCTTCGTGGTGTTTTCGAATGGACCCACAATTTTAGAATTCTAAATGTGTTTGATATGTCGGGTAACGGTTATAAACATGTTTCAAACATGCTCTTTTGCGTGATTACATGTTTTAGACATCTGGAAGTAATTTGGCAACATGCTTCCTCTCCATTGATCGTCCTCCGCAATGTTACGCTCGTCTCGCCCGTCCCAACCGCCTTCGACATCCTGAGGCATGCAACCTGGACAGAGTTTGCACTTCCGGCCGCGAAGCCCCCGCGCCTCCTGGCGAGCGTCCCCGGCGCCGGTGTGCGTAGCCGCCTCCCCCCTCGCTGCAGAGGATCACTTTCCATTGCATCCTCCTCCTCCCGACCCTCACCTCCCCGTCCTCCTTCTTCCGCCACGCCTCCTCCCCCCATCCGCTCCTGCGTCTCGTGGTGAAGGGTTTCGAACCCCTTGCTCAACTTCTCCGCCCATTCCCCACACCACCAGCCCTTCGGCGTGCAACTGCAACATCTGCCCCTGAGAGCGGGCAACTCTCTGTTTCTCAAATGCTGCAACGGTTACACGGATGGAGCGCAAGTCGTACTCAAATTCGGGATCTCGTGTTCGCGTCCCGCGCATGTGTTGTAAACTTCTGCAACATCCAGAAAGATGGAGGAGGAGGACGGCTCTTTCTTGGATGGAAGGATGGAATTAAAACTTCAACGTCCCTTGACCTCTAACGACCCGGAACGTCAACACATGTAAACTAGCACTGCACGGGAAAAAGGGCGCCCATTTCAAAGTGGCATTCTCGTTTAGGATATTCTCGCACTTCACGACCGCACGTGTAATCGAGTGCATCGACTAAACGGATGGGAGGCGGTCCTTTTTCGAGGGGAGATCCTGAGTTGTTCCGCATCCCTGTTTACGCGTCGACAAAGTGAAAGTCACTTTCTTTTCAAGACGAGATCCCCGCCAAGATGGACAGGCCCAGATGGCCCTGGTATTTCAAGGGGGTCGCCGCCTGCAGAGGCACGGAAAACCTGTTAAGGGCGAATGGGAAGGGGACTTGGGACGGGACGTCTCTTGCAGCATTGGTAATGCATCCTGGATGAGTTCTGGTCCTCCTCCTCCTCTTCCTATTATTTTTCCCGTTCTCTCTCATCCTCCTCCCATGTTGTTTCCCGTGCTCCTCCTCGTCTCTCTTCTTCTCATCCTGCTTCTGCGTCAAGGAAACATGAGCGACGTGACTGTTTCGAGTTTTCTCTGAACTAAAATCCAAGAGTGCAGGACCCAGATTAAGAGGCACAGGAAATGGAAAGAGGCAATGGAAAATGGAGAAACTCCGAGGGGATGCAGCATTCGATCTGCAAATGACAACGAAAGCATCTCCTCCCACCCTACCCAACTCCAAAATCCGATGCCTCCCGTGACAAAGCCCTTACCGAGGGCAGTTCTAACCATCCCTAGGGATGGGGGCAGCTGGCAGATAACGTCTAAAGCACCCTCACCGAAGTAATGTGCAACCAGAAAAATAGTTTCGTTTCTTCTTCCAATGGCCAACTGGCAGGGCTTTATCTACTTAACTATAGCGTCGAATAGCGCTGGGCTGCTGATGTTAAACTGTCTACATTAATCGAAGGTTTAGTTGGCACGCTTCTTCCTCCTGTCCCAACCTCCCACTCACGAACTTTACTGCCCTCACCTGGCGCCCCTCTCGTGACGGTCGATTCGGTCGGTCTTTCAATTTCCAACTGGCAGAAATTTTGGATCTTACGGTGATGCATGTGGCGATCGTTTGAAACGACGGTTTGGACGAACCATCGTTGATCCTCCATTTCCACATCATATATTAATATCATCCTCTTCCTCACAAGGTGAACGCCTCCGCTTCCGCGAGTCCAAGCCAGCGGCGCGACAAACCAAGTCTCCATCAACTCATCTGCCACTCGTGTGGCCGACGTTGCCTGCACACACAGACCCCGGTGCGGAAGCACGTTTCCTGAGGCTGTCCGTTCAGCTTACGCCTGATAGCCCTTTTCCCTGCGATTGCCCTCACCGCGGGTTGAAATAGCTGCGGCTCGTTCTCAACATTCGGGGCGCGGTGCCAAAAAGTAGCGATGTGCAAACGGCTGAATTGTCATCCTCTTTCACCTCCTCCTCTTCCTCCCCTCCTCCTCCTCCTCCTCCTCCTCCTCCTCCTCCTCCTCCTCTCCTCAGTAGTACCACCACCCCCACCCCCTGCAATGCTGCAGGCGACGGCGCATACAACGCCGCATTGTGCACACGCAGAGTTGAGAAGGCCTATGAGACGAGGCCGTTGTCTTCCACTTCCTCCACGTCCTCTTCCGTTCCACAACCACCCCTCGCCAACCCCAAGTGGCCTCACTGAGGGTCTGGAGGTCGATTCGCTCGCGGCACTCGTCTCGCTCGGTATCTCATTCGTTCACCAGCGGGTACCCTGCATATGCAGAACATGCGATGCCTGGCCGCGCCGAAGATATTGCAATACTTGGCGTTCTACGTTTCAGGCCCGATGGTAAGATGCCCTGGCGATTCAAACCCAAAGTCGTCTGGGGTCGCCTAACAATACAAATCTGGAGATGGCATCCCTGAAAGCGTTGAATTGCGGACTCGACGGCGCAGCTTAGAACTTGAAACCTGTGGGGCACGAGCGGCACGGTTGTTTCACAGACATCCCCACCACACCATTTACCTGGACCCTCCACCTCCACCTCCACGCAAACTGTGAGAGAGTGTGGAGCGTGCACCTCGGACTGTGCACGGGCTTCCACTTCCACCTACAACTCCGAACACAAAACACCTGATATTGCACTCACCGCAGGGGCGGGAGGAGGAGGAGGAGGAGGTCGATGATGATGAGGAGGAGGATAAGGAGGAGGATGAGGAGGAAGGGGAGGAGGAGGACGGACGGAGGGGGAGGAGGAGGAGGAGGAGGAGGAGGAGAAGGGCAAGGGGCGGGAGAGGGAGTGAGGCAGGGCAGGTGGAGAGGATGACGGGGATGGAAGAAGTGGTGTGGAAGAGTGCCCTCACCTAGGAGCCTGGCTGTCGACTCGCTCGCGGCGGTCGTGTCGCTCGGAACTCCAGTCTTCAGCTGGCAACAGCTGAGGCCCTCAAGTGTAAGGATCGGTGCAAGAGGAGGCCGAGGGCGAGGAGGAGGAGGAGGAGGGTGAGGAGGAGGAGGAGGAGGAGGAGGAGGAGGAGGAGGAGGAGGGGAAGATGAGGAGGAGGAGGAGGTCGATGATGACGAGGAGGAGGATGAGGAGGAGGATGAGGAGGAAGGGGAGGAGGAGGACGGACGGAGGAGGAGGAGGGAGGAGGAGGGGGAGGAGGAAGAGGCAGAGGATGAAGATGAGGAGGAGGAGGGGGGGAAGAGGATGATGACGATGATGAGGAGGACGAGGAGGAGGAGGAGGAGGAGGGAGAGGGGGAGGAGGAGGAGGGAGGAGGAGGAGAGGAGGAGGAGGAGGAGGAGGAGGAGAGAGCAGAAGAAGCAGCAGCAGACGATGAATTATCAGACCAGTATTAAGAAGAAAGGAAACAACCATACTACGAACATGATAAGACTTATAAGACGAGGAAGAAGACGAATCCGACGTACATGAATGATGATACTATGAAGACGTCCGGTACAAATGATGCTAATAAGACGGCTAATGCGACGAACCAGAAGGTGAAGCAGACGACGACGCACACTAATACAAATCAAACGAACAATAAGAGGATGTGCAGGAGGACGAGGAGGAGGAGGCGAACTGAGAGGGGCGGACGAAGGGGCAGACGAGTCAGCGTACAACGAAGACGATGAGGAGGTCGATGACGCGGACGAGATGAGAAAGAGGAGGCGGAGGAGGAGGAGCAGGAGCACGAGGCGAATGCGGAGGAGGCGAGTGTGGAGGAGCAGGAGGAGGAAGGAGAGGAGGAGGAGGAGGAGGTGGAGGAGGAGAAGGGGAAGGAGTAAGAGTAGGAATAGGAGTAGATAAGGATGATGATGATGATGATGATGCTGATGGTGATGATGATGACGACGACGACGATGATGATGATGATGATGATGCTGATGCTGATGCTGATGCTGATGATGATGATGCTGATGATGATGATGATGAGGAGGAGGAGGAGGAGGAGGAGGAGGAGGAGGAATACGAGGATACGTTGGGTGGCTGCATGAGTAGGAGGGTGAAGGCGGAGAGGAGGAGCGGAGGAGGAGGAGGGAGAGGAGCAGGAGGGGGGAGGAGGAGGAGGAGGAGGAGGAGAGGAGGAGGAGGAGGAGGAGGAGGAGGAAGAGGAGGAGGAGGAGGCGGAAGAGGAGGAGGAGGTGGATGTGGAGGGGGCAGAGGAGAAGGAGAAGGATGAGGAGGAGGAGGAGGATGAAGATCATGAGTTGGAGTGGCTGCAGGAAGAGGAGGGGGAGGAGGAGGAAGAGAGGAGGAGGAAGAAGAGGAGGACGAGGAGGAGGAGGAGGAGGAGGGGGAGGAGGACGAGTAGTAGTAGTTAGTAGGAGGAGGAGGAGGAGGACGAGGAGGAGGAGGAGAGGAGGAGGATCGCCATCCCTCAACTGGTAAGCCCATGTAACTCTTAACTTGCACGGCAAGAGAGTCGGGCGTTGTGGATTCTATCAGCGTTCAGACCCAAGCAGCAATATCATAGCAACATCCTCCTCCTCCCTCTACTACTCCCCATCCCACATCCATCCCTCGTCCTCATCCCTGTTTCCTCCTCCCTCCGCCCTCCTTCCTCGTACGACCCCAAAACGGCGCAGCCACTACTGCGCAGTGCTGGCAGCAGACAAGCTTTCACCCTGCGGCGGCGACGAAGCCCTGGTGGCTGCCCGTGTTCCTTCCTGCATCACTCGCACCTTGTGAAGATTTCCAGGCTCGCCTCAACCCGCCTATCCCTTTCCTCTTCGCTCTCCCTCTGCCCCTCTCCCGTGCTCCCGCAACCACTGTGGGCCCAAGCCTGGGGCCCCAGGTTATACTGCCTCTTGGGCGGCCCGCGCCCGAGACTCGTGAGCCTGCCGGCACGCTGGTCGGAGCAAAAGGGGTTGCGCCCACTCGGATTGCAGCAGAGCAGCAGATCGGAGTTCAAACTGGTCGCGGAGCAGGGTTTTCGATCTACGGCGGAGAGAATGGCCCGTATGACAGACGAGTCCGCAGAGGAGCTCTTTGTCGACAAAGAGGGCATCCCGCACTGGGACGGTGAGAACATAGCTCTTCTACGAGAATATCGAATGAGGGTGATGATAGAGTACAGCACACAGTCGAGCTCGACGGAGGCTGGCAAGGAGAAGCGGGCGAACTTGGGCTTGCGCCTGACGCGGGGCCTCACGGGCCGCGCGTGGAAGGCGGTGGAGCCCCTGCTGGACGACCTGGCGTCGCTCACCCAGGACGGCTCGCACCAGAAGATCATCGAGGCTCTCGATGGCCTGGATAAGGTAGCGGTAGTGCGCAAGCAGCAGAAGTTCGACGATTTCTTCAAGAGATCCCGCCGTCGTCGTGGCCAGGAGATCGTCGAGTACCTGAGGACGTTCCACAACAAGTACAAGGAGCTGACAGAGCTGGACACGGGGACGAAGCTCAGCGACGATCTCTACGCGTACTTCCTCCTTGAGGGGGCTATGCTGACAGATGACCAGAAGAGGCTGGTCACGATGGTGGCGGACAACAAGTATGAGACAAAGGCCTTCGAGAACACACTGAAGACGAACTACCACGACCTCCACCTGCAGGAGAAGACCTCCCGGCCGCCACAGCCTCATCCTCATGGACGCTCGAAGGGTGGAGGCAAGGGCGGCAAGGACAAGTCCAAGAAGCAGACGAGGGTGTACTACACCGAGGCGGACGACGTGGACGACGAGGAGGACGAGCAGGACGAGGACTACGACGACGAGGTCTACGAGGCCTACGAGGACGGCGACGCCGAGGAGAACATCGCCAGCGACGCTGGCGCGAGTCAGGACGAGGCGATCAACAACGCGTACGCCGCCTACGACACTGCGCGGGCCAAGGTTCGGGACCTCCAGCGGAAGCGTGGCTTCTTCAAGGCGGAGGGCACGCTGACTTTTGAGGAGCGCAAGGCGGAGATCGCAAAGGACAAGCAGCGCACGCACTGCGGGGCATGCGGTAAGCTCGGCCACTGGGCGGGGGATCCGGAGTGCCCCATGGGCCCGAAGAGGCCGAAGCCGTCGGCAAAGCCGAAGAGTCGAGCGGATCCACGTGGACGAGCGGCGGCGCTTTCGCGCCCGGCATGGAGCAGCCCCTCGGCTTCGGGCAGCAGTCCCCGCCCATCTAGCAGCACCAGTGCCAAGAAGCGGAGGGACGCGACCCTTTTCGTGCTGGACGACGTCGAGTACGACTCGGCCTTCCTCGTCAGCTCGGACCGCGGCTCCGACCTCGGCTCCTTCAAGCTCGTGGGCAGCGACGTCGGCGACAGCGCGAGTGTGGTCAGCGACAGCCTCAGCACGATCCTCCCGACGATGAAGGACGACGAGGTGCTGCCGTGCCCGAAGTGCTCCAAGGCTCTGGTGGCTCGCCAGAATCATCGGACAGGCGGCTGGTTCTTCGGATGCAGTCAGTTTCCGGACTGCAAGGGCACGCTGAACTACAACGAGGGCGAGCAGAGGCTGCGCGAGGCGCGGCCACCGCCGTCTTCGGCCTGAGCACACTCCACACCGGGGCCCAGAGGGGCCCCTCGCGGGCGCCACGTGCGCCCAGTACCCGGGGAAGGATTTTTGGAGATGGTGCTTATGGTGAGTGAAGACAGGGACACGTCTGACGTACCAGTGGCGCTCATCGATACCGGTTGCACAAGATGTATGCACGGCAAACACTGGCGGGAGCTGTTCGAGAAGAGGTGCCTGCATCCCCGCGGCCTCGAGATCAAGGTGACGGACCGCGTGAGGAGCTTCTCCTCGGCCTTCGGCAAGAGGCAGGAGGGGCGCGTGGTCGAGATCCCGGTCGCCCTTGGCGGCCGCCGCGGGGTGATCTTCAGCACGGAGATGGAGGACTGCGACACCCCGCTCCTGGTCAGCCTGGCGTCGCAGGAGGCGCTGGGTGCCGTGCTCCACTTGAAGGAGATGCGGATGGAGCTGCAGACGCTCGCCGTGGACGTTCAGCTGCTCAAGCAGGGCGGTCACTTGGCACTGCGACTTGATGACTGGGGAGACGATGACGGTCACCGATCGGCAGCAGCTTCGAGTTCAAGATCAGCGACGGCGATCTCGAAGAATAGGGACTCGGAGTTCTTCTACGCGCAGGCGCAGAAGGAGTCGGTCTTCGAGGAGTCCGACGGCGAGGAGATCCGAGTCGAGGAGGAGGTTGGCCACGCATTCCTGTCGAAGGATCGCGGTGTGCTGGCCACCGACGCGACAGGGATCCTCTCCAAGACGACTCGGAAGAAGCTCGAGTCCACCTGGCGTGAGCTTCGTGGAGAGGATCGTCGACTACGGGAGGAGCTACTTCGACCGAGGTTCGAGGCGGAGCGTTTCGTGACCGCCGACTTCCAGACCACGGTGGTGTTCGAGCCGTTCGGTGGAGAGCACATCCTGACGCGCTACGGTGCAAAGGAGTACGGTTGGATGCAGTCTCAGCCGCTGGATGTGGACCACTCTCCCGACTATGACCTGCTCAAGGGCCCTGGACGGGCCTTACTCTACCGGATCCTCGACCTGCACTGGCCTTACATCACAGTGTTGGCTTTTCCCTGTCATCCGTGGTCTCTGATGACCAACATGAACAAGCTCATCGACTGGGATGAGGTCCGCAGGAGTGCTCGTCGCTATCTTTTGCTCGTTCGACGGGTATCTCGATGTGTGCATGCGAGAGGACGGTATTTCTTGATAGAGCAGCCTTTGACAGCACTTTCTTGGGAGTATGATGGCATCCTGATACGTTTGTGGGATTTGGAAGGTGTTGTGTTTGTGCGCGGAGATCAATGTGCCTACGGAGCCTGCGACAGGGACACGGGCAAGCCGATCAAGAAGCCGACGGGGTGGCTCACGAACAGCGCAACGGTGGCGAACCAACTGAGCAAGCGCTGTGCCTGTCCGCCCGGCGCCCACCAGCAGCTGCTCGGGAGGAACTCGGGCGGCTATCGGGCGCAGCAGGCGGCAGCCTACCCCGTGGGCCTCGCGAAGGCCTTCTGTCGCGGCGTGCTCCAGCAGATGCAGATCGACTACCGCAGCTCGCTGGTCATGGATGCGGCCTTCCCGGTGGAGGACGCTTCCCTCACGAGCGTCCGCGATCGCGGAGCCCGCCGCCAGGAGGGCCCGCCTCTCGGAGAGGACGCGCCGCCTGCCGAGGCGGCGGCGGAGGCCCCAGAGGCACCGGCCGAGGTGCCCGTGAGGCCCAGGCGCGGCCGAGCGCCTGCTCGCCGCGAGCGCGGCGTGCCTCCTGGCGGACGCCCGCTGGGCTTCCGCCGGGGACGGCGTACGCAGTACGGCGAGTTCGAGCTGCTGACGGTGGAGCTGTGCGCTGAGCTGGACACGTTCCGGAGTTGGCATAGGAGGCTACTGGAGAAGATGGGCGAGGATATCGAGACGATCATCTGGGGCTCGGACCTCTTCCTGGAGGAGCTGGGAGGAGTCATCAGCGAACCGCTGAAGATGGTGAAGGCTAGACGCGGGGGTCAGCGGCTCCAGACAGCGCAGCCGCAGCTGCACGCCGCGGACGCCCCGCTCAGGATGGTCACTACGCTCAAGGGCGACCAGCTCTTCAGGCTAGACTTCGAGGACTGGTCGCAACAGTCACTGCAAGCACGACGGCGCTGGTTGCCACGACATCTACTCGAGAACGACGTGGTGGTCTTCTACTTCGCGGGCTACGAGCGGGGCGACCTGCCCGAGGGGCCGGCTGCAGCACAGCAGCGGGACGCCTCACGGGAGAGGAAGCGACGTTGGGAGCTGTTGCCGAGAGCCGTCAAGAGGGCGATCGAGAGGGTGCACGTGAACCTCGGGCACCCCTCACGGCCAGCGCTGCTCAGGGCGTTGCGCCTGGGCAAGGCAACGGCGCTGGCGCTGAAGGCAGCGAGGCTGTTTGTTTGTGAGAGCTGCCGGCGAGCGCAGCGACCCAGCATCCCACGTCCGAGTCAGCTCCCGAGGGTCGACGAGTTTAACGTACTGCTCGCGATGGACTGCTTCGAGAATGTCGACAGCGCCGGCAACAACTGGGAGCTCCTTGGCATCATGTGTATGGGTTGGCTTTGTCTTGGGGGTCTGCGCTATTGGGGGGGGGGGTAGTTTAGGGGCTGGCTCACGAGCAATCTTGCATTTCGCTTCCACGGCCTGCCGCGCGCAGCGTTTGCCGCAATTCATTTGCATCTCGGCCCAGCTACCACTCATTATATCAGAGGACATTCGCACATCGCAAACCGCCAATAACCGATGAATGGACGACTGAGGTAGCGGGCTTACGTTCAAAGCAAGCGCACTCACATAACGGCTTGCCAGGGAACTTCGGGGCTGCGCACGCGCGGCAATAGGCGTGCGAATTTCCATGCGTCGTTCGTGCGCCAACTCGTACACCGACCCCCCCCCCCCATCGCTTTTCACATTGATGTTGCTTCCCATGCGTTGCCCATGCTCCCGGGCGCATCGGGGCACCTAGGGCGCGATCGGAATCGCGCTGGCGCGTCGTCGGGGCGACTTGAGGCGACCCCTGGAGCCGCCCTGGAAGTTCGTCCCCATACAGTATGGGGACGAACTTCCACGTGGTCTGCCTGCTGGAGGACACTCACAAGAACCCCAAGGCCTCGGATGTCAGGAAATTCTACGAGCTCTGCTGGGTCTCCTGGGCTGGCCAGCCGGAGGAGGCGATCATGGTGGACCGCGCGCGGTCCTTCCTGGGCGAGTTCGCGGATTACCTGGAGCAGGAGGGCGCGCGCTTGGACTCGGCCGCTCTGGCCTCGCCGTGGCACATCGGCAAGATGGAGCGCCACGACGGCATCTGGAACTCGATGCTCACGAGGGTGGCGCACGACAAGCAGGTGGCGGGCCTTGAGGAGATGAGAACGGCAGTGACGGAGTGCAACAGGGCCAAGAACACGTTGGCCCGGCGGGCTGGTTTCAGTCCCTACCTCTGGGTCCTCGGACGAGATGTTCGCCTCCCGGCGAGCCTCGCGGACGACGCCGAGGTGGAGCGCGTGGGCGAGCAGGTGGCAGCTGCTACGCCGGGCTCGCGTTTTGCCCGCAAGGTGGAGATCAGGACCCAGTGCCGGATGGCTTTCATCCAGACCGACACGGAGGATCGACTTCGACGAGCGGAGCTTCGACAGATACGACCGACGAGAGGGCCGTTCGTTGTTGGCCAGTGGGTGCTTTTCTACGACCAAGCGCAGCCAGCCAAGCATCGACCTGAGCATCCAGACAACAGGCGAGGGCTGGCGCGCGTGATCGGACATGAGCGACGGCATGGAGTGTGGCTTGCTTTCCGTGGCCTCACCGTGCTCGCGAGCCCGGAGCACCTGGCTGCAGCGACTGGCCACGAGATCCACGCCTGGAGATCGATTGCGCAGGAGCAGGAGTTGGTGCACGACACGCCCGTCAGCGGCGGCAGCGGCTTCGTGGACCTGCGAGGCCGGCCCAAGCCCCCCGCCGCGGCGGGGCAGGAGCCCGCTGAGCAGGGCGACGAGAGCGGCATGGACGTCGGGCCGCGGGCGGAGGTGCCGGAGGAGCCGCAGCCCGCCTCGGCTCCGCCTGAGCCGGAGGCGCCTCCGGCCCCGCCTGAGGCGGAGGCTCCCCGCGCGGCTCCAGCCGCGCCCGAGCCGCCCGCGGCGCCAGCCCCAGCTGTGGGGGCTGAGGACGTGCCCGTGCCGCCCGACCTGGACTTCGACGCGATGGAGTTCGACGCGGCGATGCAGGAGATCATGAGGGACGACGGCGACGATGACTGGCACCCCGACTCCCACGGGGTGCACGCGGAGCCCGAGCCGGGGGCCTCTCGGCATCGGCGTCCTGGGAGTCTCCTGGAGGAAGAGGAGACTGAGGAGCGCCGCGAGCGGGAGGCCAAGCGACGGCGCCTGCTGGACGATGTCCCTGTCTCGATCCGACAGGGGACTGCAGGATCCAGCCTCTCGGCGCCTGTCGACTCGGCGAAGTTCGTGCTGGACAATGACCTGGATGAGTTCATGGAGGCCGGCTTGGAGACGTACCAGCAGGGTGAGGCTTTCTTCGTCCAGGAGGGCATTGGCAAGGAGGAGTTCATCTTCGGGCTGATGCGGAATGAGTTCGAGCACGCTTTCCTGACGAAGAAGCCTGGGAGGAAGGAGATCAAGCTCGGCAGCTTGCCTGAGGAGCAACGCCGGATGTTCATGGATCGAGGTGGCAGCCGTGATGCAGAGTGGCGATCCTGGCAGGACTTTGACGCGGCTGAGCCGATCCCGCCGGATGAGAGCGAGGCGCTCCGCGCGGACAAGGCCAACATCATCATCCCGATGCGCTGGGTGGATACCGACAAGAACGACGGGAAGTATGATGAGGCCGGAGCCCCTCTGCCGCTGCTCGCGAAGAGCCGCCTGGTCGTGGTGGGCTTTCGAAACCGCTTGCTGGGTATGTTCAGGCGGGACGCTCCCACTGCCTCACGGCTGGCGGAGGCGCTGCTCCTGACGCTGGCGGCGGCCATGGACATGATCCTCTCCCTGGGCGACGTCAAGAACGCCTACTTCAATGGGCAGAACCTGCAGCGCGAGGTCTACCTGGAGCAGCCTCGAGGAGGCCTGCCTGGCCTTGCCCCGGGCCAGTTGCTGAGGGCCCGCAAGGCCATCTACGGCTTCGCGGAGGCAGCAAGGCTATTCTGGCTAGCGCTGCGTGACGCCTTGCTGTCCGACGGATGGTTTCAGTCGCGCCTGGAGCCGGCGCTCTTCTACAAGCGCGTGGACGGGCAGCTGAAGGGCATCGCGGTCTCGCACGTTGACGACGTGCTGGTGGCGAGGATGAAGGACATGCAGCTGTCGGACCTCTTGCCGAAGGTCCTGGGTACGTTCCAGTGGAAGTGGAGCGAGCTGCCCTTCACCTTCCGCGGCCGTGAGCTTTCAAGTGATCCGAGAGGTTTTCTGGTTAAGATGGTGAACTACGCAACTTCCCTCAAGCCGATCAAGATCCCAGCAGGACGAAGGAAGCAGTTGCAGGAGGACTTGAACGAGGATGAGGCGAAGGAACTGCTGAGGGTATCTGGTGAGATCGGCTGGCTAGGTGGACAGTGCCGACTCGACCTGGCCTTCCTCTCGGGCGAGCTGCAGAGGGCCCGAGCGGCCCCGTGTGTGGCGGACCTGGTGAAGGCGAACCTGGCGGTGTCTGAGGCCAAGAAGGGCGCTGAGGTCGCGCTGGTCTACCCGGCCAACTTGAGGCTGTCCAGCGCTGTGATCGGCGCGGCCGTGGACGCGGGTCACGCGAACGGCCCGGAGCACGACGACATCGAGCGCTACAAGAGCTGCGGTGGCCACGTGGTGCTCCTCACGACCGACGGCATCCTGGCCGGACACCACAAGCACTGGTGGCAGTGCTGGACTGGAAGAGTGGCATGACGCAGCGTGTGTGCCGCTCAACTTTGGCGGCGGAGGCCAGTCACCTGGCAGACGCAGTGGAGGCCGTCGACTGGGCGGCAGTGCTGTTCAGAGAGGCTACGAATGTCTCGGTGGATTTGCTCAACTGGCAGGGGGAGGTGCAGCGGCTTCCCCGCTTTTGGGCAACAGACGCAAAGTCCGTTTACGACCACCTCACGAAGGAGGGCTCGGCTAAGAGCAAGGACAAGAGGATGGCGATCGAGGGCGCCTTGCTCAGAGAGGTGCTGCGCTGCGAGAACACCCACCTCAGGTGGATTGACGGCTCGCAGAACATCGCAGATGTGCTGACGAAGCTGGGGGTGGACAAGGTCTACCTCTACAAGGTGCTGCGGGAGGCCAAGTGGAGCCTGGTGCAGGACCCGGCGGCGGCGGCGATCAAGATGAAAAAGAGTATGCAACGTGCTAGCCGCAAGACCGCCATCGACACTAGGAAGACGGAGAAGAGGCAGCAGGACAAACTCGTGAGAGCGAATGAGATGCGGGATATCGCAGATTGAGGTGACAGCCAGGCGGTTTTCGGCGTCTCCTTTTGAGGGCGTGTGACTATTTCCAGGCTCGCCTCAACCCGCCTATCCCTTTCCTCTTCGCTCTCCCTCTGCCCCTCTCCCGTGCTCCCGCAACCACTGTGGGCCCAAGCCTGGGGCCCCAGGTTTTACTGCCTCTCGGGCGGCCCGCGCCCGAGACTCGTGAGCCTGCCGGCACGCTGGTCGGAGCAAAAGGGGTTGCGCCCACTCGGATTGCAGCAGAACAGGAGATCGGAGTTCAAACACCTCCCACGTCGTACCTTTATCACCCATCTAGGTAAATCCCGATCAGTACGCTCCTCCTTCACCCCGGCGGCGCGAACAGGGGGGTAGGGGGAGGGGGGAAGGCTCCGCGGAAGGAGGCTGCTTCTTAGAGGGTGCCAGGCCCTACATCTACGGACGAGGCCCGCGCTTTCTAAGAGGCAGGGGTGCTTCTCAGAAGCCTTCCCCCCTCCGCCTACCCCCCCTCTGCGCGTGGCCGGCACACCTTCTCTCCCACACATCCGCCCGTCCAGCCCCCTCGCCCCACAGTGGTCGTCGCTCCCTAGCTCCGCGTCAGCTCCTCCTCCCCCCTCCCGCGCAACCTCCCCGCCCCCTCCTCCCCGTCGTGTTCGCCACCGTCACCGTCGGCATCGCCACCACGTCGGCCTCACCACAAGCCTCGTGACGTTGTCTCTGTTAGTATTGTCGCCATCACCCATCGCCGCCGTCGTCGTACTTGTGTCCTCCCACGGTCCATCATCTCATTTCCTCCCTCGTCTATTTGGCCATCCTCCCTCGCTGTCGCCCCGCCTTCCCAACTCTTTGTCTCCCTGCCCACCCCTCCAGGGCAAGAGGTAAAGACATCCCGAGCACTGCAAACAATAACAATACACTGTAGATACCGGAAACGGCCGGCTTGAACACCTCCAGGCCGACAGGAGAAAAGAGAAAGGAGGGTGGAGTACGGAGGAGGAGGGGGAAGAGTGAGGAGAGGGAGGAGAGGGAGGTGAGGGAGGAGAGGGAGGAGAGGGAGCGAGAGGGAAAAAAAGGGGGGAGGAGGAGGAGGAGGAGGAGGAGGGAGGAGGGGGGAGGAGGAGGAGGAGGAGGAGGAGGAGGAGGAGGAGGAGGAGGAGGAGGAGGAGGAAGAGGAGGAGGAGGAGGAGGGGGAGGAGGAGGAGAGGGAGGAGGGAGGGGAGGAGGAGGGGAGGAGGAGAAGGAGAGGGAGGAGGAAGAGGAGGAGAAAGAGGAGGAGTGGGAGGAGGGCCAGGGGGGAGCGGGGAAGGGCGCGGGGGGAGGAGATAATGGGGGGGGAAGCGAGGAGGGAACGTGGAGCAACAATCAGGAGCAGCAGCAGGCGCCAGACCAGGATATGCCAGCAGGTACAGTGGGTTCAGGGGGGGGCGTACTGCAGTCCATCATGGGAGTGGAGCAGCGTGGAGAAGCAGGAAGACACGCATGCTTCTGCCGCACACATTATAATCAAAATCGATAGTAAGGATGCGCAGTAACGGTGCAAGAGCCTTGGACGCCCATGTCAAAGCTTTTCGAGCGGGGCTGGCCATCGAGTGGTTGAGGATGGAACGAAGATGACCGAGCAGGCAAGGATGCCAGGGAACCATTGGGAAATCGATCATCTGCACTATCAGTTCTGACGGTACAATCGAAACGCATGGCCACAAGGGAGTGTGTCCAAAACATGAGCCCCTTAGCCGCATGCACCATGGAAGTACACTCCCAAACGAACAACCGCTCAAGGCGGAGGACCAGAACACGAAAAACAGTACGGTGCCCCTGAGAAGCCAGGGCTTGGGCGTCGCTGTATAGGATGGCGACGCATGGAGGGGGGGAGGAAAATGCACTCATCGGCTCCTAAAGGCCCTCTTGTCGGCACTAGAGGGCCTTTGGGAGACCCCGAAGGGACCCTTTCCTCCAGCCCCCGCCGCCCCCCCCATTTATCGCCCCCCCGTCTGCGCCACGCCCAGAGGGCTGCTCGTGACCCTCGCGCTGGCTGCACTCCTCCTCTCCCGCTTCTCCGCCCGCCCGTGCCCGCTGCCTCCGCGTGCATTTCTTCGCCAGAGACTGCGGAACATCGGGCTTTGTGGGCCCCGGAAACGGCAGGGCCGTTTTTTCACCGTTTCCGAAAAAGTGCCCCTTGAAAGTGGAAACGGCAAAAAACGACCAGAAAGGGCAACAAAACGGCTCCAGGAATGGAGCCGGAGCCGGAACTGAACAAAAAAAGGCGGCGGAACCGGTAAAAAAACTGCATCGGAACCGGCCAAGAAACGGCAAAACGGAACCGGTAAAAAAACGGCCGTGTCGTTTTGGAAAACCCGAGGGGGCCCCCCACTTGGGAGACCCGAGGGGGCCCCCTCGCCGACAATAGAGGCCTCCTAGATGGGGTCGGAGTAGATGGGGTCGGTGGATCGCGCCGCATCGCCGATGCATCGGCAATGTATCGGCGGTGCGTCGGCGAGGCACTGGCGACGCAACGTCGACATCGGCGGTGCATCGGCGACGTCGACGTGGAGCCAGGCGGGCTCCACATCGAGCCGCATCGCCAATGCATCCAAGATGCGGCGCGATCCTCCGACCCCATCTACTCCGACACCATCTAGGAGGCCTAAAGACAACGCTTTGCCGACCTCGCAGTCAAGCCCGACCAGGGAGGGCACGCGAGAGGCATCTCGGGACAGCCCAGGGACTCGAGGCCTCCCGAGGGGGGCCTGGACCCTCTCTCACCCCCTCCGTTCCCCTCGTCCTCCCCCTCGTCTCGTCCTCCCCCTCCTCTTCCATCCTTCACCTCACCTCCCTCCCCCTCCTCTCGGGCCTCCTCCTCGCACGTCGCCGATGCGCACACGCAGTCCTCATCCTCTCGCTGCCGCCGCTGCCGCCGAGCCGCGGGCGCCTGGCCTGCGCTGTAGGGCGGCACGCACCGCAGGGAAGCACCTGCGGGCCTCCTCGATGCCGACCGGCTTGGACATCTTGCCCAGCCGAATGAACAGCGAATAGGCCGCGATGGGAAAGAGAAGAGCGGCATCGCAGGGATCGAGCAGACCGAGCCGACGGATGGGACAAGCAGGGACAGGAGACGAGAGAAGCTCAGAGAGGAGAGCACAAAGATGAGGACAACACCAGTAGCAAGCAAAAGAATCAGGGGCGTGAGCACACCCTAGCATACATGGCAGCAGATCGCCATCGTGCATTCGAAACGAGGTGCACCACGCACCACTCCACGTGCGCCAGAGCGAGTTCCTCAAACCTGGCGGGAACTTAAGTGCCTGCACACGAACAGCATTCCAGTTCACGCTAGTTACCTGCCGAATGTGATCGGGAAAATACCTCTGGAGCCGAGTGCTCCAATCCGAAGCCAGAGAATCAGGGGAAAAAGGCGTCCGAGAAAGCACGCAAAGCAGCCCCCTGGAGTTTCAACCTCTTCGGGGTCCTGGGCAAGCTACGGCAGGCATCAAGGCGCTCGCGGACGGCGCGAACCGCCGCGGCACCCGCAACTTTGTATTCTCTGTGATCGCAGAATCCAGAAGCCGCGCTTTCAAGCTCCTCGACGAAAGCTTTGGACCTCCAGAGTCTGGGATAACGCCGACCAGAGGCCAGATCGGGCAACGTCAGTTGTCTATCCGCCTCTGCTTCAAGCATGCGCAACAGCGGGCGCCATTCTAAGAATGTACTATGGGCTGCACGCACAAGAGTAGCAGCACACAACGCTTCAATGGAAGTGATTCGAGGCCCACCCCATTTATACAGCGAGCACCAAGAGGCACGAGAAAGCACGCAATGGGGAGTCGAGAAGATGGCAGCAAGCGTGGCATGCTCAGCGCGCCGCAGCGCTGGAACGCCAGGGATGGATAATGGGAGGCGGCTAAACTGAGAGACATACGAGAGCACACTGATCGCTCTCCGCTCATAAAAATATTCTCCAACGGCCGTCGGGACTCCAGCGGAAGAGATTTGGGCGCCACGAGACAGCCATTTCTTGATGGGCAGGTGCCAAGCGTCAGTGTTAGCTCCAGGGCCCATCACGAGGCCGAGATACGTGACCATACTAACAATTTGAAACTCGGCCCAAGCAGGAAGAAAATTGACGATCCACTGCCGATAAAATTGAACTACAACTTCTGAATACGTATCTGCCAGCGGGCAGATGATACACTTGCTGGGCTTCAGCACTAGATGAGCAAACTCCTCGCAGTGGTCGAAGACGCCCTTGAGGTCCAGCAGCTGAGAGATCCTGACAGTCACCGCACCAATGTCGTCCGCGCACGCTCTCGTCGCGCTGATGGGCTTCTCGGGGCCGGTGACGGTTAGCACCTGCCTGAACTCCACGAGGAACGGGTGGCTCGCCAGCGCGAACAACGCACCAGAAGCAGGACATCCCTGCAGGATGCCGCATAGCACGTTGAAGAGCCACGCCTGCACTCGGTTGTGAACTCCATAGCACATGACATCTTCATAGATGCAGACGAGGAAGTGGTACATCGGCGACGGCAGCTGGACATGGCGGAGCACCAGGAATATCCATGCGTGCGCAACCGACGGGAAGGCCTGACCAAAATCGAACACGCACAAGGCTGGCCGAGCCAAATGCGCTGTCGGTTGCATAGATGCCATACGAGATCTCACATCCAGATCCAAAATGTTAACTCCGAAGTTCCTTCCAAAAACAAAACCACGCTGGCCCCCATCTACGATGTCCCCGAGCTTGCGGCTAAGAACCGAGATAACCACCCCCGTGAGAATCTTGTTCGAGGTTTGCTTGAGACCGAGCGGTCTGGCATGTCCAGGCTTCCTCAAGACCTCCTCCTCATCCTGTAACCGAGAACCTTTGGCGATGAAAGCTCCCCTGAGGTGGTTGAAACTCGGCAGTAACCGACCACCATTCAGAACGTGCCAGAGCGCTTTGTCCAGGATCTCTATTCCCAGGGGGTTGTACAGCCTGGCAGAATAGGCCAGTCCATCGGGCCCTGGTTCCGAATCGTTCAGCATTTTGAGGTGCATCTCGAGGCTCGTGCGCGAAGGAGGGGGAAGGTCGCGCAGGCAACAATGAGGCCCAAAGCGGTCAAGGTACTGCTGGGCTGCACTCTCGTCAATCGCTTTGGAGATGCCGAAGACTGCGCCCCAGCGCCGCGACAGCGACTGCAAGACTTCGGTGGGCTCGCGGGTGGCAGATCCACTGCCATCATCTGAAAGCACCCCCTTCAACGGCATCCGCCTGTCGAAGGGCGACCACAGTTTGCCTCGCAGAACCAGCCCACGGAGTTTCCGACGAAGTTTGGCCTTGGAATGCTCGTTTGTTGCATTGTTGATGCCGTTCTTCGCCCGGCTCTCGTTCCTGTGATAGATCGCTTCGTGGATCGAGTTCGAAGTCGAGGCAAAAAGGGTCGGGTCAGAGAGCTCGACAGTCCCCGCCAACGGGTCGACGACGAGGATGTCCCTCCCTATCTGGCAACTCGCCCTGATCCGTTGAGCTAATCTGACATCTTGACGCCATATAGCCCTAGCCATACTTTTAATAGTGATGAACTTAGCGAACAGATCGTTGGGCGAGCGCCTCAAAATACAGCCCCTAGCATACCTGGCAGCCCCCCTCATGATTTTCACCATCAGGTCCAGGGCGAGCGGCGGGGAGAGCTTGGCCAACTCACAGGCCTCAGAGGTTGCCACGACGAACTCCGAAAGCTTGGGATGTTTGAACACTTCCGATGGGATCCGTCTCTCGCACGAGGGGGTCGGGAGGCTGCAGGCTGCTTCGATCACAACAGGCGCGCGGTCGCTGATGCCACGCCTATTCAACGCCTCTGGCATCTCGGAAACGCGGCCAGAGAGCGAGAGCTGGTTGAGCACCCAGCCCGCGAAGGAGACAAACACCCGATCGATGCTCGTCAGCAAGCGACGCCTGGCATTGTGGTGGG